GGTTGAGATTTGGGGATGCAGTCAAGAGAGCTTTCTCCGCTTGTCTAATCCCACTGTGCTGGCCACAGGAAAGCTCTTCCTACCGGCTCTTAATAAGCAGGACCGTGGTTGTGGCACTTGTGATTCTGTCACTGGTGTTTCCTTCAGACAAAAATAACTCAGGTGTCTGAAAGCTGACAAATTGGGTCTAAATAGGAATGCAGTATCAAAGTGATTGTAACAAGCACGTGATTTTGTCATGTGCATCGCTTTTCTCCAAGCCTTATTACTATGAAGGTTTCCAGAAAAGCTGTGGCACGATGCTTGCAGATTGCTGAGGCCACGTAGTGCCCCCCAAGCAAAAGCAGCCCCAGTGCAAGCATAGAGCTGCCTTCATGCCAAGTGCATGGAGCCCATCCTGCTTGATTAGCCTTTTCTTTACCTCCAGCACCTAAACTGACTTGGAATTACCACATTTGGGTTTTAAAAATACAGGCCTGTCACTGGTATTCATCTCACCGCAAAACCCGTCAAAACCCTGCTGTACTACTGCTGTTGCTCTTCTGCACCCTAGAGCTCATGTGGCTGCTCTGGTCATAGAGAATTCTGCACCCCATATCTCTTTGTCCTCACCATCTCCACAGGCAGCTGCTACAGCCATGGCTTATTATTTAATAATATATGTTTTAACATGCCAAAGCAAACCATAAGGAAAGGGTTGGGGAGAAGCACAAACAGCAGTGGGATTTGCCATCCTTCGTACTTAAATACCATATTCCATTTTAAAAGCACCTAGGACATAGAGGGAAGAATATGCGATGAGGTAGGGGTCACATATGCTGTAGCTGATGGTGTTTCTGGCAACCTTTACTGACAATATTGAGTCCAGCCATGTGTGCATTGCCTGGTCTGCTGGCTGATAGGGAGCACGGAGAATTTGTTACAGCCTTGTGCTTTCAGACTTAAGCTAAAGAGCTCGCCAACGAAGCATAATAAAAAATGAATCAATTTCATTTTTAATCAGAGGCTTTAATGTAATAACTTTTACTGGCTATGGTCGAAGCAGATGTCGTTTGCTTTGGCCTATTCTCTACTTCTTACATCCAATTGGTAATTTTGAGTGAATGGTCTGCTTATGATTTTTGTGTTGTTATTAGCGTCTTGGTTGTCTTTCTCTAGTTTACCTTTCCAGGACCTTTAAGTATTAGATTGAATATTTATTTAGAATCCTAGTGAAAGGATAATTTTATTATTTAACCTCATTGAGGACTAAGTCACGTTCGAATGAGAGTGGATCTTGGTGGGGACAGAGCCTGCCATGTAGCACAGCAGGCTCAGGCTCTGGGGAAGCACTTCTGAGATCTCCAGATGCTATTTGCTGTGGTCCTAAATTGTAGATTGAGTTTGCTGATGGGAGAATTTACTGAAAGAAAGCAAACTCCAGCAGGAAGAGTGACAGTTCAGTGCAAGCTATGCACCTAAGGGAAACGTAAAACAGTTCATACAGCAAAAGTTTTCATCACAAAGAGTTTGGAAAAATATATTTTCCTTCCGATAACATAAAGAGTAAGGAGTAGGTAATTTGCCCTTTTGGGTAATGGCAGGTATAAAAAATAATGTTAGTTTAAGGTTTTCAAAATGTGAACAAAGTTTTAGGTATAGTTCTATAATTGGTTTAAATTTTTCTATTAAAATATGCACATGTAGTATTGTAAAATATACTTTTATTAGGAAGCTGCAACCAATTAGCTTAAAAATAACGTGGATGGTTGTGTTTGTTTACACTTCATAACCGATGTGCATCTCTTGCAGCATAGCAATAATTCTTTCAAAAAAGAATTGAATGGAGTGAGTTTCCAGGTTGGCGCCTGGAAGCAGGAGTGAGAGACCCCACTGCTCGTTACTCTTGGTGTTTCATACAAAGTGTTTGCAAAAAGGAAAAAAAAAATAAAAGCCCTTTACTTTTGCTGCTGTGAGGGGGTGGTGGAGAGGTAAGATTTAGACTAGAGTGTCATATAAACGTAGACGAGTATAAATATTTTTATACATGTGTGTTTATACATGTCTGTGTATATGCACAGACGTATACATAGACCCATACACATCCGTGTGCACATAGACACACGTTTATCTGCACGTTGGGGCTGGAGCAGCGGGACGGGGCCGCGCTGCCGCGGGCATGCCGGGAGCGCTGCTCTCCTCTCCACTTCCTGCGCGCCGCGGCCTGGCGCGCTGCGGCCGCCGGCACGGCCGCTCCGAGCCCCACGGGCCTGCAGCCGGGATGGGCACGAGGGGCAGAACAGGACCATGGCTCTGAGCCCCACGGGCCCGGAGCCGGGACGGGCACGAAGCACAGGACAGGGCTGCGGCTCTCCCGTGCCCTCTCTTCAGCTCCATCTCCAGGAGCATCCGAACAGATAACCCAGCGTGGGGAGGCCTGCGGAGGCAGGTGGGGGACGTGCTCGTGTGGCCGCGCGTATTGCTGTTCCCATTCATTTCTACATTCCTTCCTACCCCAGGGATTTTTCTGATTTTCCCATTTTTATTTTATTTTATTTTTATTTTATTTTATTTTATTTTATTTTATTTTATTTTATTTTATTTTATTTTATTTTATTTTATTTTATTTTATTTTATTTTAATTTTATTTTATTTTCACAGGATCACAGAATGGTTAAGATTGGAAGAGACCCTTAGAGATCATCTAGTCCAACCCCTGCTCCAGCAGGGACACCTACAGCTTGTGGCACAGGGTTTATTTTATTTTATTTTATTTTATTTTATTTTATTTTATTTTATTTTATTTTATTTCCTGGAGTTTAATAGCACCTTTGATCATTAGATGTGTCTTTTAACAAAGCCTCTTGAAACAATTGTGACATTGATAAGTGGTGCCTGAAAATTAACTTACTACTAAATCCATTAGCAGTGTAACTAACTCCTGTTACTTAGCTAATAAATTCATAAGATTATTGTTTTTTTTTTTTTTTTGCTTACCAGTTTCAGGTTTGAGCTGCACTTAAGCTGCCCACATAGTAATCATGTCGCTTTAAATATAAGTCAGGAAAAAGAGATGAGAAAAATATGTGTAGATGGTCCACTGTTCATAGGTTCATAGCTCCCTGAAAGTTTTATGTGTCTATTTTTCTGCACAAATATGCTGGGACAAAATCTCTTTTTAAAGAGGAGTTGGCTTTTTAAAGTTCAACCAAACAAAGCTGTGCTGAAGTTTGGGATGTCCTTGAAGGTCTCTGAGTCACACAGCTGCTTAGGGCATTAAAAACAAAAGTTATAGTTTTGAAAGCGCAGGCAAAGCTCTACTGCAAGTTAGCTATTAGTTAAGTACGTTTCTTGCAAAATAAGCAGTAGTTCTTCTAATGATGCTTGATACTTGACTGGAAGATGATGGGCCACACTGGCATGAAATTCCTAGGAGCAACTCCATTGAAATCAGCAGATTTGGGCATTTTTTTGAATTAAATCTCCATGTGGCCCTGTGGACCCAAGTCCAGGATTGTAGAGGATGAACCAATTTGTGCCTTTTGCTGCACTCCTGGTGGGTGAAGTGTGATCCCTTGCACAGCAATTGTTTTTAGTCACTAGACAGTCCGTGGAGGTACTGTCGGCTTTCTGTAAATCGAAGTAATCCTGAGGTTGTTGCTGTGGGTCTGATAGCACTTACCAGCTAACTAAGATAAAGGCCTTCCCTCCCTCCCTCGCTTTCTCAGGTCCTGTGGGCAGTAGAACAAATTTGTGGGCAAGCAATTTGAAATACTTTGGTTTTTATTTTATATTGCTGTTCTTTCCATGTCAAGCAAATGGGTGGGAATAAATGGATGAGGAAAACTGGCCAGATGGGTAGTTAAAATGTCATAGTAATGTGTCAGTAAAATGCCTAAAGATGTAGAGAAAGTCTTGTCACTAATGAGCAAAAAGTCATTGTGTCACGGAATAGAAATGTGTGCTTAAGGAGGCTCTGCTGGAAAAGTTCAATATTTTAAAGACTGTTTTTTTTGTGTTCTTTTTTTTTTTTTTTTAGAAGGCAGTAGACAAATGGGGTTATAATTATTCCATATTCCTTATTTGTTAGACCTGTTCTACATGAATAGTCCTAGAATGAGAATGGCTTACGTAGGTACAGCAAGCAGGCTTAGACCTCTTGGTAGATCCTTGGGCGTCAATATCAATTTTTACAATCTAAGAAGAATTCCAAGTATAGTTCTTGATGTGGATGATGTACAATGTCGTCATGTACAATGAAGAAAAAAGACCTGTCCTAGGGCGATAGTAATAAGGAGAGGCTGTGTCCTGTAAAGCTGTAGGCTAACTTTGTCAGAAGGGGTTGTCTTTCAGAGGAGCTTCTTCTTGCTCACTTTTCTTAATGAAAATATTTATGTCTCATATTTGCATCGAAAGGGGCACAGAGGGAACATAAAACACTGATCCCATGTCTTACACAGTGCTGGTGCATAGGTGAATAATTTCATGGACACAAATGGTCCCATTGACTAACCTGTTGCAAGGTCTGCCTGATACCACTAATGTCCACATGCCCAAGTTATACCATGTTAAAGCAGTGGGTAGAATTCTGCACAAAAAAAATCTACACATTTCATGTGTTCTTTATATAAAATTCTGCAGAACTTTTGTCTTCTCTCAGCCACATTGTGCTTTTGCCAGTAGTGTGTGAAATGTTTGGCTTTTTCCAGTGAGATGTATGGCAAAATAAAGCTGCTGTCTGTAAAGCAGCATGAACAGTAGAGCTTCTGCAGCGTAAGAAAATTGTTTGATCATGCGAGGGAGGAGATTTATTTCCAGTCCCCAGTCGGTACAACTGTGCTGACGGTGTTTGCCAGCTTAAACCAGGAATAGTTTTGCGGGAATAGTTTTGTCCATGACAGCGGGGCTGTGTGTTGAGCATGATGCAGCTTTTCAAAGTAGAAAGTGCCCTTTCCACACACAATTAAAAATAGTCCATGTTCTGTCTGCTTCTAATTTCAGGGGGTGAAAAAAACAAGAAACAAAATGAAATCTCTCCACAATGTCTGGCTTTTTGGGAGCTGGTTCACCAAGTGCTGCTGTCGTGGTCAGCTTCGCAGCTGTCCTCTTCCTTCTGTCGCTAGGAAGATGGGATATGTGATGGGAATGCACAACTGGGGGCCAAAATCTTTGTTGGACGCAGCTAGACTCACTCTGACATTTAGCAATCAGCTGAGGAAAAAACATCAGGATTCTCATGGATTGTGGAAGCATGAGGCTATGCAGAAGTATCTAGAGGCTCTAAGCAAGGAATACCAGCGGGTTAGTCATCTGTTAAGTGCTGGCTCAATAAGTGACTTTGAGGAAAGATCCCTGAAGAGAAGACACGCTGATCTGTCCCCAGTTGCAGCTGTATTTCAAGAAATCAAAGAGGCAGAAAGAGAGGTTCAAGAGTTAGAAACCATGTGCAAAGGTAAGGATAAAATACTGTCTTTGCTTGTGATAACCTTCAATGTATGGCTTTTAAGAAAAGTTTTTAAATAAGTGCTAAGCTGACCATGGAACGCTCTCTGGTCATATCTGTTCCTGGGAGCTCACACAGCTGAAGTTTTCTTGATCCACCCATTTCCTTTCATATTTACCTTGCCTCATTTTGAGGTCTTAATACAGACACCCTGGGAGAATGGGGACCATCTGGGCTCTCCTAACTACGTGTCTAGCAGAATTAGTTTGCAAATGTTTCTGTTTTAAGGTTTGTGGATTTTCTTGTTTGTTTGTTTGTTTTTTTATGGAACCAACAATAGCATGAATGGAAGGAAGGCGTTTCAGTGACATTTGACATGTGCAGACTTCATCAGTCTCACTGGAAATAGGATCCTGTCTACCCAGTTCATTGATAGTTATCAAGCAAATTAAGTGGACTTTCAACACTAGTTCCTGATTTGTCAACTTCTAATGTAGATAGCAAAAATCTATACTTATTTGGAGCTGTTTGAGAAGTCCAATGTGGAATAAAAATTGATGGCTCTATAAGAAGCATGCCTGGTGTTTCTCAATGCAGCATTACAATAGAAGTTGGAGTGAAAATAAAAAATATATTGTCCATTTTTGGTATTGCTCAGAAATGAGAAAGTACATAGGGAGTAAAGTAACTCATAGAGTAAGCAGCTGCAGTGTTTTACCAAAATTGTTCAGTTACAAGTGCAAGGCAATGCAGAGAGTAGGACAGAGAAAATTTTGGCCTCTCTCCTATATGAATAGATGCTAAATTAATAGAGGGAAGTAGTGCCTTGGAGAGAAAGGGCTTACATTAAAGAAGTGAAGCAAGGGAAAGGGGAAATGGATAGCCAGTATCTATAAATGTAACTAGATGAAAGATCATGGTGCATCTCAGAGAAAAGACCAAGCAAATGGTAAAAGCCAGATTGAAGTAAAACTCATAAAAAAGCATATCCTTTAGAAAGAAAATATTTATATTCTTTAGTTTTTGAAATCAAAGGGTGAGCTCGTGCTTTTGAAAAAATCACTGGTACAAAAAAAGCACCAAAAGTTCCACTGGAACTTAAGGAAAAAATTATTAGCAGTGAGGGTGGCAGAGCCCTGGAACAGGCTGCCCAGAGAGGCTGTGGAGTCTCCTTCTCTGGAGATCTTCCAAACCCGCCTGGATGCCACCCTGTGCCACGTGCTCTGGGTGTCCCTGCTGGAGCAGGGGGGTTGGACTAGATGATCTCTAGAGGTCCCTTCCAGCCTTAAGCATTCTGTGATTCTATGATTTCTCCACTAGAGAGAGAGGAAAAGGGGTGAAGATGAGGAAGGCCAAAAACTGAAAGCTGAAACTGAAATGTTCTTGAAGAATTAGAAAGTTAAAAAAAAAGAAAAAAGAAAAAAAGAAAAATATACTTCCATTTAGAAAGGCTATTTTGGGATTGAAAAGAATTTTGGCCTGTTCCATAAATTATGATATGGAGGGATTAAGTGAGATAACTAGTTGAAAAAAAAAATGGAAGAAAAATTAGAGCCCCAAAGTTAATTAAACAGGGCACAGTGACACTACTTGTGCTTTGTATCACGTGGCCGAGGTAAAACACAGAGGTCCCGTTCATTTAGGTGTTCTTTGCTCCTGCTCAGAGCCCTTTCTGAGCCTCTTCTCCGTTCCCAAGCTCCTCGCGGTCGCGCTGGATCTCGTTCTCGCACATGCAGCGGAGCCGCGTCGCCCAGTTTGTCACGGGTGATGTGAGAGGTTAAGTGAGGGCTCATGGGGCAGGTTAAGTGAATATTTTGAAAGACGAGGTCCTCAAGGAGATAGGACTGGGACATGGATCCCTCCCAGACCATTCTTCCCTCGCTGCTCACGCTCAGCACAGCTTGTTGCTGTTTAACTGACGACGGGTTATCCAGGCACCCCTGGTTTATTGCCGTGTCACGCTGTTCCGTTCGCCCCAGAGCATCCCTGCCTTGCACAGGACACGGTACTCCCGGTGTGGTCACACCGGTGCCAAGCAGAGGGAAGGGAATTGCCTTGTGCAACGGCACGGGTTGGAGAGAGGTCTCCCACATCCTGCTGCCCTGAGCCTGCACCTCCCACATCCCGCTGATCTCTAGAATAGCAGGCAGCCAAGGGTGACCGAGGCCACCAACACACTCCTATTGCTCATGCTCACCTTAACGCGATGGGTACAAATTGTCCAATACACGAGTCTTTCTGGGCACATCCAGAAACCTTTGTTTATTTACAATAACCTTTATTTATTGCCTGAGAAACTGAAATAAGGGAAACTGAGTCAGTTGTTGTTCCCAGGCATGCTTTTGATGCATTTTATCCATGCATTTGTGGATTTGAGCCTGGAATGTCATTAGGGGTCACATAGTTGTCAGCATGCTGTAACTGACAGCGAGTCACTGTTGGGTGGCACTGACTTCTGCTTGGTGCAGACTTGGAGCCTGCAGCCAGCAGTTCAAAGGTAAGATATTTCATACCTCACTTCCAGTCTGCTACTTCTTCCACCCTGAAAATATGATCAGTTAGAAATATGCATCTTGGCTTGGGCTGCCCTTATTAGATATTTCATGCTTGGAAGATGGAACTGCATGCACTGCCAGTTTTTATATGCTGTAATGCATGTCTTTTGACAGCTGTATTGGAGTTTGCTCTAAGCTAAGTGAGATTGGCTAACGTCTGTTCCTGTTTAGAGCTAGACAGCAGAGATGAGAAACAACTTTTAGAGCTTGCCTTAGAAGAGAAGGAAACCCTTGATAAAAAAATCAACACCTTGTGCAAAAAGGTGAGCCTGAGGTGAAATTATACAGCTTTGTAAGTAAAAACTTCAGAAAAATGCTCCTTTCTGATCCGAACAGCTTATGACATGTGCATTTAATGAATCAGCAATCCAGCTTCTTCAATTCTTCCAGGAAAGATGTGGCAACATTAGCACACTCCTTACGGACAATTGCGTCTTGGAAGCGCGTTACTTCAGCTGGTTTTGTTTGCTTGCTTGTCTGTCTCCAGATGCTGCAGGGAATATAAATAAAATGCCAAACTGGAGTCTGTGCTATTGAGACCCAGGGTGGCACCCTAGTAACTTCCCCTGGCAGTGGAGTGGACACTCTTAAAAAGATTTCTGACTGAAACTTTCAATCTTTCATTTTCTTTTCAGCTGACAGCTCCCAGAGTGGGGAAATTAATTGTAATCAGAGAAGCTGGAAAGATTGAGTGGAAAGTGCTGTGTTTGGGCTCGTTTCTGTGTTCGGATTAAGATAATAGGAAATAGAGTCTTCTGAAAAGTAAAGTCAATTTTGCATTTAAAAAAAAAAGGAAAGAAAAAAGGGATGTTTCATAGCTATTACTTCATGTTCATAGGTAGTTGGGGCTGGAGTGGGTGACCTGACACATGGTTTTGTGGAATCAGGTTTTCAGCTAGCTTCCCTGCGATTGCACCAACATACCCCGTTTCCACACTGACTGCTCCGAGATGCAGTAGCCATTAGATGGTTTTTACTCCTAGTTCCTAGTTTACCATTGCAAGTTTGTGGTTGTGTGTGCTCAAGCTATGGCCTTTGTGAAGGCTGTCTATAAATTTGATTAGAAGGAGATACAGAGTCACGAAGGAGAGGGTGACATTCTTTTTTTTTTTCTTCTTCTTCTTTTCAGCTTTTCCAGAGTCTAGTGCCAAAACAAAAGTATGATGGAAGTCCTGTCATACTAGAAGTGACAGCTGGCAGAACAACTGGAGGTCAGAAAGTCCCCGCAGTAAAGATTGCCTCAAATCGTCATCTGAGTTTTTAAGGCTCTTATGGGTTATGCTTAGTGTATTTTTACACTTTAATGATATAAATTTGCACTGTCTAAAGAAGAGTATTAATCTATCTAATGACTGGTATCTAATGACTAGTCTAATGACTGTGGTTAGAGATGCAGCTAAAGCTAAAAAGTGGTGGCTGCCATTTTATGATCTGCTATTGATGTTGTAGTGCCTTTATATTTTTAGGTGACATCTGCCAACAGTTCACTAAGGAAATGTTTGAGATGTACCAGAACTACGCGGACTATAAATCTTGGACCTTTGATATTCTGAACTACACACCGGCTGAGATAGGCACGTTAATTCTTTGGACATTCCTGCAAAGCAGCCAAATTAAAAGCTGTGTTTCTGTGCTATATTTACATACATTATTTGTCTCCATAGGTGGGTTGCATCATGCAGCTGCTCAGATTTCAGGAGATGACGTCTACAGGCATCTGAAATACGAAGGAGGGACACATCGAGTCCAGCGGATCCCTGAGACGGGCCTGTCATCAAGAATGCAGCGTATTCACACGGGGACAATGTCAGTTATTGTCCTCCCTCAGCCAGAGGAGGTAAACAGTTAATCAGGGCAACAAGGAGGTGTTTGATCATCCACTTTGGCATTGGGGTGGGTTATTTAAAACCCCGTTACTGTTTTGGGATTTTATTGGTACCCAAGGGCTCTGTGCAAGTCTGAGCATGTAAACCACAAGCTCAGGCAATAGCCCTTGGCTCTGTGCTTAGCTAAATGGTTCCTTACATGTTTAAATGGATCACCAGAAGCAACTTTGCAGAGATTTGCTGTTACCTGAAGTGGAAAGTAAATCAGTGATCATTTTGTTAAGCATTCCAGCCCCAACACCTACAAAACTGACTTGCTAGGAGTAACCCAGTTTTAAATTTTGTAGTGTATTAAGACAAGGAATATATCCAAAGAAATAGTTGATGTTGTATAGTAATGGATTTTGGGGATTTTTTTTCCTTTTCTTTCATTTAAATTATTGGTGCCCTCTGCTAAATCAAGGACAGTGTGCTTTGCATTTGAATGAGTATGTTGGCAGGTCTTTCTGAGATCCCACAGATATTCAGCCAGAATTTAAACACAAAAATAACCCAAACCAGATCCGATAGGCTTTCCCAGCAAGCTCTTCTGCTTCCTTGTATTACTTTCCTTGCAAGGTTGTTCAGATCTGAATGTTCCTTTCCCATCCACCATGGGTCCAGGTCACCATGGTCTCCTATTTCCAGTGCTGTAATCCTTTCTTGGATCTGGATACACCCAGTTTTCCCTCTGTTAGATGTTCTTAAGCACTGCTATAAAAATCAGTCAGGTTCAACTTGTTGAACAACGTCCTGGCAGTACTTTTTAGTAGTAGTGTCTGGTGATTTGCTTATTTTTCACTTTCCTTGCCAAAGCTGATTTTACAAAACCTCTTTTTTTATGCCTTCCCCTTGTTTTGTGACGCACCTGTAGTACAGCTCCATAAAAAAAGTGAAATACTTAAAGTATTGCTTAAAGTATGGTGTTAGATAGAGATGATTTCTGTTGCATCTGTTTTAAGTATGATCATTTCTCCGAGCATAATAATTAAAGTATAATAATTACAGTTGCAGAGGAGCAATTTGGGGAGAGAAGTGAGAGTGATTACAAAGACATTCCAAAACGTATTAGGATGAACGGGTAGTAATGATTCACTTTGATTCCAGGTCGATATTAAAGTGGAGCCCAAAGATTTGCGCATCGACACGTTCAGGGCCAAAGGAGCAGGAGGGCAACATGTGAACAAAACTGACAGCGCTGTGCGGATTGTGCACCTTCCCACAGGTAAGTCCAGCATTACTCTGTGTTTTGGGTACTTTCAAAATTGGTATCCTGACATGAGAACTTTTGACCCTGCAAGTTGCCTCTTACAGAGGGGTTTGTGGGGTTAAGCTTGATGCTGGAAAAGGCAGCAGCCCCTTCTCCTTCTGCCCGTGTTGCAGGGTAGTGAGCGAGGAGCATGTGCCAGCAACCTGGTGGCCAATGTGCTGCTCTCACGGCAGTTCTGTCTTCAGAGTATCAGTTTAGCAAACAGAATGTCTTTGAGGAATGAAAGGCAAAAAAGAGAGTGACAGGGGCAGGATGGAAGGTGTCAGTAGGTCCTGCTGAGTGCTCTGTACCCCCAGCAGTTGGAATCTGGTAGTCACAGGGCTAAGAAGAAAGGAGACATGGAGATTTGCATTTGGTAATAGATAAAGCTACTAAAATCCTGCGTTGAGTGGGAATGTTAAGGTATAATAATGGAAATCTAATGTGCTGCTCTGGCTTTCAGGATTTGTTTTCAAATAGAAGTCACTGGGCTACTATTTGCCAGATGCAGAATCTATTTAGACAAAAGAGATGCCAGTGCTGGTGTGAAAACTGCTGTTTACTGTATGACTTCTTATTTCAGAATTAAAATGTGAAATAAAAAGAAATATTATTTTCTCTGTATTGCCTTTTATATTGCTTTATTTCACTCTAAGTTTGTCCTGCATTGCTTTGACATCGTTCTCTGCTAAAGATAATTTTCAGTTGCTAAGTGCTTATCTAGGCTAAGATGCTTAAAACTTGTGTTACACTCTTTTAACTGTGCTTCTGCAGACTGTGCAAATTCCATTTTTTAATATGAAATAGCTATTTCATGTAAAACCCTGTTTCTGGGAGCAATGTCAGAAAGTTACGTTTTCCATGAAACTGTAAAGTGCCCTGGTTTTCTCTAGCACTGAAGCCAGAAACCTCTGGTGGAGCTGAGAAGAGTTCAAAAATGTACTAATATTTTTTTGCCATTGAGTTCCAGTGGCTTTTTATTTCGCAGCTGAGAGGCCTGTGACATGTGACAAGCAAACACTTTAGGAGGTTCCACTTCCCTAACGTGTTAGAGTTGCTTTTGTTTGCTTGTTTTGATCTGTGCTGCCTGGAATTCCCGTGCCAAGGGCTAACCGTGGAGTGCCAGCAGGAGCGGTCGCAGCAGGTGAACAGGGAGATGGCCCTGCGCACCCTGAGAGCCAAGCTGTACCAGCAGGTTGTTGAGGAACAGCTCAGCCAAGAGCAGAGTGCCAGGAAACTGCAGGTGAGAGCGTGTGGTTGGTGACACATAGGGGGATGCTGCGTGGTAGTTTTGCTCCTGGTCATTTTGGGGGCCAGAGCGTGTGAGTGTGCGTGTTGAACCAGGTGTGCTTGCCATGCCAGTCTGCTTTAAAAGAGTAAGTTTGCTTTTTACTTACCCTTTTTTACTAGTTGGCATTAGTGTATACCTCGCAGGTGAGGGGAAAACACTTGTTAATGAAATATTATCATTAAAAAGCTAATGCATAACATGGACTAACAGCAGGGTCCTGAGCAATGAGCAGGGTTAGAGACCCAGCTCTAACAGGGGGTTTGGACTAGGTGATCTCCACAGGCCCCTTCTAACACCAACCATTCTGTGTTGCAGTGAACATCTCTATTAAGGTCACGTTTATACAATCAGAGCAGAAGGAACGAGGATTTTTTTTTTTCAACGAAAATTAGGATGAGGCATCCTCAGATCTGTATTTTAATCTAAAATGATTTTTGATAACTGAAAAATAAGGAGTATATAAACAATCTTTCCACTTCACGGTTATGCGTTTAATATTTTCTGTTATTTAGGTAACCTTTTAAGGAAGAAACAACTTCCTTTACTTGTTGTAAAAGTTAGCACAAGTTATATTAGAGACCGTGTATTTCTGTGAAAATGTGCTATCATTCTTTTCTTACCTTTTGAACATTTTGCTGTTTGCAGTATAAACTTCTATAGTGATCAACAGAAATAAAAATACATTAAAATAGTAAAAGTTGTTCAGCTCAGCTTCTTAATCACTTATTTCAGATTGTATTTAAGTGTTTTGTTCTGACAGACTAATTCAGTCATTTTAATCTGTGAGCCATTTATCTTTGCTAATTTTACTTTGAAAATATTCAAAACTGCATCGAGGATGTAGGTGTATGTTTATATTAATACTATAGAAAATCAGAGGAAAATAAATTATTTTTGAATATGTTCCAGAATACATTAAATAACTTCCATGTTTTGAAATATAAATGTGGGTGCAGATGAAAAGGATGTTGAATCAGACACTCATTTCTCCAAGAGTTTTCAGCGTCTAGTTCTCCGTTTTAAAAAAGCAATCAACCAGGCCTCAAAGTTATATTTGGAACTCTCTTCGAAGACTTTTATATTTGATTGCACTCCTGCACTTGACCACTAGAGGACTACTGTTCTTAATTTGCTCCTCTTTTGGTATTAATTTCTGTCAGCCAAATATTAGTGTAAGTGCTTTGCCACCTTTCTGTGTAGTACCTGTCTGTTAGTGATGTCTACTCTCATTATCCTTTGAGGATGTTGAAACTCCCCCAAAAAGAAAAGAACCATCCTACATGTTTGAACTAATGACCATATAGATGTATGTATCTCTTGCCTTACGTGACTGATGAGACTTAGGTAATTTTTCCAGCTACAGAGCTAGAAAAGAGGAGGGTGTCACTGGGGGGTGTTTGAGTTGGATCTGCGATACAGAATGGCAAAAAAACACAGTTTAACAAGGGCACAATTATCAAAACAAAATCTGAGTCAGTGACCACTAGGTCTGCAGGTAGGACAGGCTGATCCATTAGTGTTTATTTGAGACATGCCGTTTTAGAAGAGATTCTTTTATTAAAAAAAAACAAAACACAACATAACAGTTTTTTTGGTTGCTGTTTTACAGCTGGGAACAAGAGCGCAGTCAGAGAGAATTCGTACTTATAACTTCACTCAGGACAGAGTCACAGACCACCGGATCTCATATGATGCACGAAATATCAAGGTAACGGTGGTTCTTAAGAGCTTTAAAAGATAGATACATATGTGTACCACAGGCACAAAAGCTTCACCTTGGGAAAGCAACTGATAATGTGTCAGGAACCTGGTGACCAGCCATGCACTGACCGAACCTCACGGACTTAGAAAGTTCACGTTTTTTACCTTGTCTTGGTGATGTGCTCTGCTCTTAAAGATGCCTGCAAGGTAACTTGTCCTGTCCTTTGAAAATTGCCCTGCAAATTCAGCAATTGGCCTAGTTCTCTCTACATTTCTTTACTATGAATGAAAAATGATCACATGTAGTCATTGTTCCTGAGCTCTGAGAGTCCCTTGGCCAAACTGTGCGAGTAGAATTTGAGATACATGGAGCTTAGTGCAGCCCCCCTGCCCAAAAAAAAAAACCCTCTGCCTTTTTTTTTTTAAGTCACTGTCTCTTCCTCCTTTTAATGTTAGAGGGAAGAAAGAAAATAACTTTTTGTTATGGTTGTCTTGCATGTCTTACGGTTGCCACAGTTAAAAGAAACTGACTGCTTTAATTTTAAGATTACCTGGTGTTTTGCATAAAATTATACATATGTTTTGCATCTCATATTGTCTACAAGGAACAAATACCTAATAATATGTTTCTGTGTGTTAAATTTATGGGCAATATTTTAAAATCTAGGACAAAATTTAGGATGACCTTTTTTTGTCTAGATTTACCAGATTTTCTAGATTTACTATAGAAAGATGTAAATCTCTAGATTTCCTTTGGAGAACACACCCAGAGCATGCTGGATATGGAATGGTTCATATTTGCTGAAGCAGGATATAGATATGCTAATATCATAATGGAAGGGAGCGGGGAAAAGGTCTTGGATTTCATAAAAATCCCCTTTTGTTAGTCCATCTTTTTGCTTATTTAGAGTTGGAAACTTACGGAATTTCGAACTATTAAATAAAACTTGGGAGCAAAAGCCAGTATTGGCACTAGGGCAGCGTTAGTGGGGCCAGGTCTCGGCTCCCTGATGGCTCCTGCTGAGACCTGGGTGCGTTTGGGAGCGGGAGCAGCAGCAGGGCTGCTTGCTGGGCGCCACGGCACGTGGAGGAGCTGAGACAGGGCTCCAGGCGCGGCGTGATCCGGGAACGCCTCTCCTGAGCCGTCAGCATCTCGAAATCGTGTTGTGTACGCTCAGAAATACTTCTGTCTGTTGTTGTTTTTTCATAGGAGATTCTAAGTGGCAAAGAAGCACTGGATAAGCTAATCAACAGACTACTGGAGTTTGCAGAGGTGGAGGCTGTCGCTGAATATCTAGAACACTTGCAGTCTTTGGAAAGAGGAGGCTCCTGAAGACCTTGTGTACAGTTAAAACAGATTTTTTCCTTTAATAGCAAAATAAAATGGATGTGTTTGTTAGATGGTAGCTTGGTTAAAATCTATGCCTCTGCCTTTCAATATGTGTTATATGACCTTTTATAATTTAGCATGATTTAACTCACTGGACTGATTTTATTATGATTTTACTCTTCCCCAGCAGAGGAGAACAGGCAGGGAATACTGTGTGCACCAGTGTTCCCTCTGCCTTGGCAGTGTGGCTTTAGCAAGCCAGACCCTCTCTTGACTGTATTGCAGCTGGACAGGTAGGAAGATGGAGCAGAAGAAATTCTAAGCAGTGCATTAAACCACATGGACGCTGGGGTGGGAGATGTTCCTCCTCAGGTGACAAAACACCAACCTTCCCTCACACAGTATGGTAACAGCCTGGAGAAGAGTCCTTAAGCATTCTAAGTGATATAGACTTTCAGCCCTCTTGCAGCCGTAGTTAGGCCAGTTGAAGGCAGGTCGTGAATATACTGTTAAGAAAAAGATGACCTTTATCTAGCTTCAAATTAAGTTGACAAAATTCTGGAGAGTGTTTAGCATTAGTAAAGAGCTAGAGAGAAAATGAGCTCATAGTGGAGACGTACTGTAGCAAATAAAATAGTTCTGGAATTCAACTGATTTCCCAGCAGGTAATTTTGTGACTGTTACTGAGGACCAGCTAGATATCCTCAGGGCACTTGTCTTTAGTGGGACTTGCATCCACGTTTTCCTCCAGGCACGTGTTGTGCAACGCGCGCGCGCAGCCGCAGGAGCGTCGTAGGCGCCCGGCAGCCACGCGCAGAGACTCGGGAGTCCTCTCGTGTTCAGCATCCCACAAAAGCAGGTAACTGCACTGCTGAGTTCGCTAACCCGTTAGGGGAACGTTTCCTCCTTTCATCCTGCTGTTCCCACACTGTGCTGTGAAACTGCTCTTCTTGTTCCGAACCGTCTTGTGAAAGTGAGGACTCGATTGCTGTATTCACATATTTTTATAATCGTGAATGATACAGGATTGAAAAAACTGCCCATGTAGTTTGACAAAGAAGAATGTCAATAGTGTGTTTATCTAAACTAAGCATAGTTTTACTACTGTATTTATATCAAATAATACGTTCTTTTAACTTTATTTGAGTATATTAAAAAATGCAGGGTTTGCACCAGCAAGAAAGCAAGAAAACTCTGCTCAGTTTCTCAGTTCTGGAATTATTTTCAATTCTGGTGTATTTGCAAATTCTTATCATGCAAATTTTGTTGGGAATTTTTTACTTGTTTCCAACACTTAATTACTTTTTTTTTTTTTAATTCATAGCTTTATAAGTCAACCAGGAAACATAATTTCACATGACTTAGTCATTTGTACATTTGAACATTGACTATTCTCAGGAAACAATTGTTTCTGCAAATACTTGCATGGAGATAGAAAATTCAGCTATATTTATGTGATGTTGACTGACTGGCAGTAACTAATATGATCAGCTGTTGTAGGAGAGTATGCAGTTAACATTCCAATTAACATGCTGCTTTAATTCACTTTGCAAATCAATTATTGATGCAAATTTTATGCAAATCAATCTAGCTAATTTATATATCCTGAACAATCTTAGAAATTTGCTACAATGTGAGCATTTAAAACAATCAGTTCCTACTCCTACTATTAATGCTTACCCTGTGGAATTACTTTTAAAAATACTGTTGGAAGGCAGAGATGGCAATGTTTATGCTGAAGGAATATTTGTGACTAAGTTGGTTAATTTTTATTTAGCTTCTTTGTTGCTGATTTTTTGGGGGGGTGCACAGTAATGAGGAAGGAAAGTAGAAGAGAGCTCTACTCTGCTGTTTAATTTCTGATGTCCTCACTGCAAGCACTGAAGTTTGACAGCTAAGCCCTCTATCCCAGCCCATTTCAGGGCATTCTGAAGGATCTTTGTCATAATAAGTTTATCCTGCAATTGCTCATGCCGGAATATGAGACAGCAAAATTACAGTGTTGTGTTCAGTTGTGACAGCGATTTTGTACACAATCCTTCTGCTTCTATTGTCATTGGCTGCAACATTCAGTTTTACAAAAAGGAGACATATTTGTTTCTCCTAACTGTCAAACTATTATTTGAAACCACTAGTTTATTCCAAGTTCTTCTACCTTAGCGTTTCTATGGAATATAAAAGCTGAGAGCCTGTGACAAGGCATGGATGTGGGCTGCCGTTTGTACTTGTGGAGGGCTGCAGGAGAGGAGCTCTGCAGTTCAGGAAGCGTTTCAGGATGGAATACTCCCAACTTGTGTTTCAGGATGGAATACTCCCAACTTGTGTTTCAGTTCCTTCAAGCAACCTTGATTCGTGGCAGCGGTGAGCAGCTTCCAATGCCCATGAGCTTCGTCAGAAACTGTTGAACTTGCAGCATCTAGTAATGCTATCCTTGCTGCCAAGTCTGCAGGTGGCTTAAATCTATCAAATTACACTGCTAGCAGGAAAAATGATGATCCCAAAGTACCAGCATGAAAAGGTGAGTGGCTACTGAGAAGGCATCAAATAGCTTCTAGAGACTGCACTACTCCATAGCAGAGCAGAGCGCCAACAGTTTTGTTTGATAGGAACAGCCTTACCCCAGAGCTTCACATGCGCTTGCAAGAAAGGGTGACAACAAGCAGACCAAAACACTTGCTTTTTAACATCCACTGATCTGGCTTGCTTTCACAACCATGAACATGCACAACCCAGACCTTTCACACTGCTGTCATGTTGTGAATGGTAAGAGTCACCACCATCCTCTTTCTGTTCTCCTGTTGATCTGCATGAAACACGCAAACGACCTTCCTGCGGTGACCGTCTCTCTTTTCCCTGTCGAGGTCTATGCAGCAGCACTGCCGCACTCAGCAAAGAAAGAAGCTGGATGAAATTTGCACTTAGCAGTAGTCCTGGTCCTTAAAGACACCAGCTGAGCCCAGCTCAGCTGTTCCGGGTACTGTGAATCCTGAAAACGGGTGACCACCAAGTCGTAGTAGGGGTCAAACTACTATTGTAGTACTCGCAAAATTTTACAGTGGGTGAGGAATAGGAACTGCCTAATTAGAGCCTCATGAGGCAAGACCGTTTGATGACAAGGAAAGCATAAAATAAAATCTGCCAAACTGTGTGACACCTTGTCATTTACCAGACTTTACAGGATTCCAAAATTTTTGAGCTCAACTCTTCTTCCGGCTAAGTTGAAGTGACTTAATTTTGCTCCGCTGCATCCCAGCTCAGAAGCAAAAACTGTCTGTTCAAAGCCCGATTTCTTGCCGAATTCTTGGACAGATTTCAGGTTGTCAGCAGCATCGTAGCCTCAAGGGAACTCACACTGGTTTATGTATCAGGAAAAGCTGTCGTGCGTATGCACCCAAGTCCGGGAGAGGCTCGTTTGCTATAATACTGTGAATCACAGAGGGGTTGAGGTTGGAAGGCACCTCTGGAGATTGTCTCATCCAACCCCCCTGCTCAAGCAGGATGACCTAGTGCACATTGTCAGGGTTGTATCTGGATCGTTTCTGAACATCTCCAAGGATGGAAACCCCATACTCTTTTTCAGCAACCTGTTGTACTGCTCAGTTGCCCTCACAGCAAAGTTTTTCCACGCGTTCAGACTGACCTTTCTGTGATTCAGCTTGTGCCTGTTGTCTCTTGTACTGACATTGGGCACCATCGAGAGGAGTGAGGCCTATCCTCCTTCCTCCCTACATCCTTCCTCCTGATCTAAATGCACTGATGCATTCTCCCCTTAGCCTTGTCTTCTCCGGGCTGAACAGGCCCTGGAGCACCTCGGACTTTCCTCGTAGGAGAGATACTCCCATCCCTTCACCATCTCAGTGAGTAACTAGATCCGTTGGACCCTCTCTAGGAGCTCCACGTCCCTCTTGTCCTGGGGAGCCCAGAACTGCACCCAGTACTCCAGGTGCGGCCTCACCAGAGCTGAGCAGAGGGGCAGGGTCCCCTCCCTCGACCTGCTGGCAACGCTCCTCCTCATGCAGGCCAGGATCCCATTGGCATTCTTGGCCACGAGGGCACATTGCTGCCTCATACTGCTAAGACAAATGGTGAAACTCCATCACTCGCATTTCTAATGAACATGTAGACGAGCTATAATTGAGCCATTTTTGCAGGAACATGTTTGTGAGCGGTACCAAGTTATGGTGCCTGCCCGTGTCTTTGAACCGCGCGTATGGCCTCTGCTCACAACCTTCTTGCCTCAGTCCACCCTCCTCCTGTGAAGTAAAACTCAGGCCACAGGCATTTTTTTCACTGTAATATTTCTCTCAAGTTATTTACCTCTCTGCAGCCTGGAGGGTATTTTTGTTGATGCTTTGCGTGTTTTTTTAATGCAAGATTTTTAAGGCGAGAACCTGAGTTTTATGTCTTTTTCCATTTGGATGCTACGGTAATATAAATAAATTACTTTCTCTGTAACATCAAATGTTTTGTTTGTAGTTCCAAAAATAATGCCAGAAGGAAACAACAGCTGTACTGACATTAATATTTGTAATAAAATTTTATGTTCTCATTACTTGAAGGAGCAAGTACTTCCTCAGTCAAGCTTTTTATATATAGGCTCTTTCTCAATTTACTTGTCTGTAATGTTAGACATGACAATAACAGGTACTGTCAAAACAGCAGAGAATCTTCTTAATTTTCAGGAGCCATAAATGTGTTTTTATGCATCAAGTCTTACTATCTTTTAATAGCACTTTATTTTAAACCAGAAGATACAGGATTTAACTGCTTATTCGAAACTTTTTATGGGTGAATCATCCAATTCAAACAAATAAACAGCATCAGCTGAAGAACTGTTTTTGTTTGTTTTCCTTTCACCCTTTGGGCTTTATTTGGAAATTTCAGTGCAGGTTCCACCTGGACATTTTGAAAACTTCTTTACCTTTAATGTAGCTGTCAGAAGAACGATGAGAAAAGATGAAATGTTTGCAAATAAAAATGATGTGCCACTGGTTCCTCCACTTCACCCCTCCAGAATTCTTTTCCTGACATTATTTTCCCAAACCCACCTGGGACAAAGGTACCCAAGACCTGCAGCATTAACTAGGCAAGGAGCAAATCTCTTTCCATAGGCCAAGAGATGCAAGATGCTTCACATCGGGGGCAGGAATGGGCCGGGAGACCAGCATGGACGGAGCCGGTTCTGTGCTTGCTGGGAGCCCAACCGAGGAGAACATGACACTGCGAAAACGGTGACAAAACAAGGAGACCCCCTTGTGGCAACAGCAGGACTTGTGGCAGGACAGAGCTACCCACAGAGGAAAGCAGACAAGCAGGACACCGCGCTGCAGTGTGAGATACGGAAAGAACAGAAAAGAGAGTGTCTGGATCCTTTAAAATGGATTTACAGAACAAGGCATCACGCTAAGTGCAACTAGAGCAGTCTCAAAGCTGAATTTTTGAAATATGTTAGGACACCAGCAGCTGTAGCCCGCACATTTGAGCATATGTGAAGTTAGACTATATATGCAGTCAATGTATGTTTCATTACTGTTTTTTTTTTTCCTACATATTCTATACTTCCAGCTATTTGAGGAAACTGGCATCTTTCACAAGTCTCTTCATACACAACAGAGTCCAAACAGGCTTTTTTTGTTTTCCTTCTGTCTTGAGCAGGATTTATTATTAGAGAAACTAATGCAAAGTGAGCTCACCGTATGCCTCCAAGTCCCGCCCAGGCTTGGCTTGGATTCCTGCCGTAGGGTTTACCCAGTGCAATGCAACCTGCCTTGTGCAGAAAGTTACTTCCATTTTAGCCTGCAGTAATGAAGTACCTAATCTCAAATGATTTCAATCAGATCTGTATTTGCTAAACGGAGAAGACTGTTTCAGGCAAAACTTAATGCTTCTTTGTAACATACACGTAGGGAGCACAGTTTCTGGAGAGCATCACTTGGCTGTTCCCTTTGGTCCAGAACTCACGAGCAGAACAGGCTTTTTAACGGGTTTGTGATTCCTTCATGGAGATGCATCCTGCAAAAATGCTCGGTCTCCATGAAGAGCTCAGCCTCATGCGCTGGGTCTTATCAGAACAGATTTTATCACCGTGATCCCACCTCTTCCTTGTATCCTACTATAAACTTTACAACTTGCCTCTCAGTGTCCCTTTTATGGGTTGGGATTGTTTCCAAATCCGACAAAAAGGAAGCTATAAAATGATATTAAAATCTAATACTATCTAAACAGGTATGACTGTATTCTTACATTGCACTGCTAAATTATATGTTCACTTTTAATATACATACTGCTAAGCAAAAATGAAGGAAAAAACTGTAAAATTAAAGGAAAATAGTTGTATCATAGTGGAAGTTTTTTGATAGTGGAGGGAGGGATTTTTACTTTCTACATTAGTAAAACAGTTTTTCTTTTATCTTGATTGTTTTCATCGACAGAATGTACATGGGAATATCTCAGAAATTCGGGAACAGTAAATGAATTTATTCACTTGAAGTAGCATGCTGGTTTTGTTCCCATTTTATTTGTTATCATTTTGTTATCCTTTTAACTGAAAGGAAGAAATAACCCAATGCCATTAGCAACAGAACACATTTCAGTCTGGCAGAGCTCTTTGCCCAGATCTTACCATGTGTTTTCTACTTGCTTAGTACAGCTGAATAATTTTATCACTTCCTGTAAGAAAAGTTGTCAAATGATCAAGTTGATAAGAAGATTTTCTTTTTAAGGAAATGTTATTAAATGATTCGTGCACATTTCCCACCTTTTAGAAGCTTGTATCTCTAACTCTCAGGTCATTGTTTACCATCTAGAAGACCAATAAATCTGAAGACCACGGAATAACAATCTGTTGTGTCTCTTAGATGCATTCTGCATGTTGCTAAGTAGTAATGACAACAAATCTTAACTGAATTCTGATAGGAAATTTAAAATTAACAATTTTAACCCAGGTCATTTGTTACTCATGACTGATAAGCTGCCTAAAGTAAGTTCCACTAACTGCTTAATGCACTACTGGAAGGCACCCAGATATTACACCTTAGTGACCACAAAGTAAAAAATATGAAACAAGCAATTCCATACCCATGTACTTATTTTGGATTATATTTCTGCATGCCCTATTTTAACAGAATATGCTATCCATGCATAAGTCTCTCAGGTTGCCCTAAAAACCTTGACTACACAAATAACTAATAGACACTGTTTGAATGTTTGAAGCTTTATTCAGTATTTCATATAAATTCCAAGAGCTGGCCGTATTCCGTAATAGGAACTGAGAATTTGTTAAAGAGAAAACAGCTGCTTAACTCTGCAGACAATACTTGAAAATAGAAACAAGCAGTTTTAAACAACTCCGTTGTTCTTCACCACTATCTTTAGTAATACAATCAAATAAAATTCCCTGTCATTAGCAGATGGCGTGTGTATTGTTGCCTGCTGTTTGTTCAACATTATCATTGGATATTCCTACGTTTACAGATAAAGCCAAAGCAGCGTTTGCTGACATTCTCTGCAACTCTTGTTGGACAAATTCAGCTTTGTTCAGATAATGATGTGCAATATATATTTTTTTCCTTTGCACAGAAACTTTATTCAAGCTATATCCCCAAACATTTCACAAAACTAGATTTGTTAACCACACAAATGGATAACACAATTTCTAAGTTAAATAGCTGGTAGAAGATGAGAGGACTTGAGAGGTAGATACAGGAGCAGCTGAGGAGACACAGTGGAGGAGACGGAATCAAAGGACTGCAGCAGTGAAGCAGGGGTTGCACCGACAGCTGCGGCGGCAGCGAGGGAAGGGAAGGGACTTAAAGCTTCAAATCCTGTATGAGGGATGGAATGAAATCTGTTTTAGGAAAGCAAATTACCAAGAAAATCAAGAGGGCACGGCCAGGCAGTTTGGCCCCAGAAACGCAGCACAGCAGACACGTAGGCTTGCGTACGCAGGAGCACTGCAGGAAGACAGTTTGAGGAAGACGCTGTTGATAACCAAAGAACTAATAAGGGGAGACACTCAACTCAAAAAGCAAACCAAGGAAACCAGGCAGCCTCTAATAATTTTTACTCCTTTTCTGAGATGCCAAAGCATGCACTTTTTTTCTAAAAGGAAAAATAAGCATTTTTTTTAATATGTGCACAGGTAGAAACTTTAACTCAGACCCAAGTCATGACCAGCCCCCACATCCTCTAAGCCTGACTGCTGGGATTGGGTGATCTTTCAGCACAGGTTTTTTCCATCAGAAAATAAAAACACACTCACACAAATCTATCTCAGCCTGCAGATTCACAGGTGAGGAAGGATTAAGACTGGGCTTAGCTCAAACAGAAACAAGGACATTTCATAATTGTCAAATCGAGTAGGTGGCCTTTGCACAGACCCTGTCACTTTAAATTACACACCAAACAAAATAATTATCATCTTTAGTACACATGATACACTTGCTTCTAGACACACCAGAAACTGGACAAACCTTATCACACACAAAACAAATAAAAATGCAGAGCAGTGAAGTGACTTACCCAGTATCACACAATGAAATCATGGGTAGAAACGTCAATAACTCTCTATTGCTTTCTCTCTCCTGTGGTTCTCATAACACTAATAATGTCTTACGCAGCATATAAAATCACCACGGGTGTAGTCGAGAAAAAAGCTGGTCAGCAGGCCAAAACATAAGGCATGACAGAAGATGGATTAGGCAGAAAACAAAATGTGGTTCTTTTAAAAAGTGAAAAAAAAGTCTTTTTTACACAATACTTTTTGTAAAACAAGAGAAAGTATTTGATTTAGATACACAGTAGAGAAATAGTATGACAGCATGACGCAAAACTGAACAGTGGCTTTGCAAGTATCACGTTTCCCTGAGCTGGCTCTCACTGCAGTTTACAATTGACAAACCAACAATGCGCTGGTTCGTCTCCAAACTGTTCTTCAGAGTTACTGGGGAGTAAAGCGCTGCGTTGCTGGGAAATCCTGGCTCTGGAAGTCACATCAAACACCAAGTGTGCGATATGTAACCCAGCTTCACTGGGGGTTAACAAAGAAAATATTTATTCTTTTTAATTTTTCCTAATGTAAAGGAAATGATTGTTTTGATTTACCTGTTAAACACAGTGCTTTGCAGATGCCTTTGGTTCATATTAAAACTAACAGCAGCTCCTCAAGGAAACCAGTTTAAAGCAAACTTTTATTTACTATCAGATGTTTTTAAACAGCTGGTTAAGCAATTTAGTTACAGGCATCTTATATCACTGCTGATAAAAATGATGTCACATTGAAGTGGTTAAGGAAAGATGCTTGTATTTTGGGACTCTGACTAAAAAGAAAGACTATTTCCTCAGAAGATGTTAAACATATACAGGGACTACCACAAAAAGAAAAAAAAAAGAACTATTGTATAGAGGGAGAAAGGGAATGAACACAGCAGTACAAAGCACAAGGTCATAGACAAGATTTTGTTCTTTGAAAGAAAGCAGGATCAGCTGCGATCCCGGCGGTTGCAATGGCGAAGGAGCAGAAAGAGCTGCTTGTGTTGGTAACCACGGGGCAGGCCGAGCAGGCAGCACGACGCAGTCATGTGAAAGCAAGTGTGGTCCAAGGACGCACCGAGAGCGCTTCCCAACACGCGGAGGAAGTGTCAGTGACAGCAGGCATGGCCTTAATCCTTTGCAAACATAGAGCCTGGACAAATTCAGCCTGGAATGGAGGAAAAGTGGAGCGCTGATGGGGTAATGAAGACCTGATGACAGAAAGATACTGTATTTGATTCACCCCCACACACACAGGAAAAACAAAACAAAACAAAACAAAATAAAAACAACAAAAATGATGGACTCCAGAGGAAGAAAAGCTGCTTTAACTCAAGGCTAACACTTGTGTAAATTGGAAATAAATGAGTGTAAAATGGACACAAACACAGATAGGCTAGAAACTAGAAGCAAGCTTCCATATGCTAGAATTATGAGGTTTAAATAACATAAGAACATAAACCTCACAAAGCTATTGCCTTGGCCTCTTTTGTGATACACGATAAACCAGACTCCCAGGTGTGAACTCTTTCCTCAGCTGACCTGCCAAATTAAGAGCCATTTTCTCAGAAATTTCAAGCTCAGCAGTTACCAAGTGCATTTTGCTGTAGCTTGACTTTGACTATTTTTTAACTGCACTGTTTTTGACTGAGAGTCTCCCAAGCAAGGCACTGAGAATGTTAAAATGGAGACATATTTTTGAATGGATTCATGATTTGAACCTTTGTGGCCCACTGTTTGTAGGTATAACTGTCTTCTTAGGCAGACAAGAAAACTTTGATGATGCTCGAGGCGGACCATTCCCACCAGATGAAGACATCAAGCAATCCTTAAGAAAATGTTCAAGCATTTACACTGGGAACTGCCAACGGCCAAGCACTGCCCTGCAGCCATCCCTGGGCAGCTCAGGCACCATCGTTACTTGTTCATGGTTCCTTCTCCTCTCCTCCTGCACTGAGGACGATGGAGCTGCAAGATGCTCAGCTCCTTTCAGACATCAAGAACAGCCAACCTGGCACTGTCTGCAAACGTCCAATGCATCCATTTTACCAAAAGACAAAAGCATCAGCCTCAAAAAGGATGTTGAATGCTACAGCAGGGCTACAGCTTTGGAATATTTTCATGGACTACCATGCAATTGCTTTTTTTTTTTTTTTTTTTACAGGGGAGGGAGACAAAAAGAATTTAACACTGAAGAAAGAAAACGTGTAAAAAAAGAGAGTAATTTAAATAAAGCAACAACAAAGTCACCATGGAAAAATCCACCCCAGCAGAGGTGGTTTGGGTGCTATTAAGAGACAACAGTTTTAAGTCTTCTGCATTTATCATGAATGTACATAAGTAATTTATTTTTGACTGTCATTCAAAATGCATGACACTGATGTGACCATCTAAAAAATAGCTTCAAATTATCTGTTTGAGAAGTTGGAACTGCCACCAGCTACTGTTTTGCAAGTGATGAGCCAAAGGTTTGTAAGCAAAGTATTTCTCCTCGTTAGCTTGGAAAGGACTCAAACACAATCCTGGGGGCTTGTTCTGCTTTCTAGTATCTGCCATTCACTGACCCAGTTCTTGTACCAGAGATTTCTACCTTCTTCTCACATACTTAGAAAAGGAGTAAAAAACACCTTATATAATGTATTTAAAACAGCATACACTGAGTAAATTGAACTTAGATGGCATGGTTAAAATAAAAACTGAATGTATTTACAATCCTGCTAAGTAATATAGCATAAACTTCCATTCTGAAAGCAATCACATCAAAATAAAATTAAAAAAATATTACAACTCACATATGTTTTAATAGCTATAAATCCTTAATTTCTAACCAACTTCTTCTTTATAAAAGCCTGTTTAAAATATTAAACTTTTGATTCTCTCTAGCTTAAACAGAATCTAGAATGATTTGATAAATATTACTGATCACTTAGTCTTTGTCTTAAGTTTCTAGATTTTCCATTTTCAAATTTTCTCTTTTTAAATACTGGCACCCCTTCTGACACATCTCCAAGAGAGGTGACGGTCTTCTCTTTAAATATCACATTTGCATCTTCCGGAACTTCCAGCACTGGAGTTGTTGCATTGTCACCTTCTGCACTAGGAAGCTCCAGGTCCACTTCTTCACTGTGAGAAGAAAGGAGATAAATAATAATAATAAGCAGAGTATTAATCTACATGGAAAAAAACAACACTGCCAAATGCAGCCAGTAACATCCATGTATACGTGTCAAAGCAGTTTTGAAAACTCTTATGAAAACATGTAAGCAGCTTACAGAGCTTTCTAGACAAGATCACCAGCACAACTAGGACCAAGGGGAAACGCGATTTGTTCGGTGCGAACCTGCATACAAAGTGAAAAACTGGGTCCCCAGTTCCACACTGTGCTTAGAGCATGGCCCAACTACTGATCATGCAAACAGCCCTATAAAAACCAACAGTGCCACACGCTTGTAAACCAAAGAATGTTAAAAGACTGTCATCAGTGAGCAGTTAACAATAGTTCAATGCCAAAATGCTATTGAGTAGTTTTCCTCAGGCGACTATTGCAGGTCTGTAATTCAACACTTTAGTTAATGTTCTACATGATGGAAGAGATAAAACAGGCTTGCTGAAGTGAGCAGTGCCCTACATTGGGATAGGCAGCTGTGGAGAATCACAGCTAACGCTGACCTAGACAAAGACATTATCTAAAAATTACCAATCAGTTTAAGGGGATCAACAGCAAAACCCCAATCTAAACAACCAACCTGTGGCACAAAGATAAAATGGAGAACAAGTGAACAAGCAGCAGAAAAAGATCTAAGAGATCACAAGTGCACCACAAATCACACCAGCATTACACTGCTGCAAAGTAAAACAACATGCTATAGTGCTGGCCCAGCGGGACCAGAAAACCTCCTGCGCTACCATGTGCTGCTCTGATGTCACCCGATTTCAGGCACTGCACTTCAAGGTAGGCACTGTGAAGCTCAAGCACCCAAACAGGAGCAATGAGAATGACTGCAAGCCAAGAAAATGTTATATTAGCCCTAAAAGGTCAGCCTCCTGAAAGAGCACTGGTTCTGGTGTCAATCAAAAGTAAATTTCATTCTTGTTTACCGAAAGTGAACAACTCTTATGTGCAGATATATATCAAGCCTGTATACAGACTGCTATATAATGTCCAGTAGCTAGAAGTGTTTCTCATCAGGGAGTCACTTAAAGGAGAATTTATCAGTTTTGGAGTCAAGGAGTGGTTAACTGGTGCAACAGAGCAGCTGACCACGTATGAGATACCTAAGCAGTATACCAGTGCTTAATTTAGCCTGAGGAGTGTCAAAACTATGGCTTCTGAAGAATTTAGAACTAAATAAATGCTCTAGAATGGGGTAGGTATGATGGGAAAGGTTAATTTCCCTCTCCCAACACTAGTCTCTTTGGAGACCTGGAGTACACCATAACAGCAAACCAGCTGTAAAAGACAGCACGCTTCAGAATAGGAGCCACCTCATGCAGAGATTATGCAGTAAAAATAAAATAACAACTGATCAGGAAAACATCTGCAGCAAATCAGTTAGACGTGGGAGAGAGAACTTCCACATTTAATGTTGGAATAAGTAGATTATCCTTTTTTTTTTCTTTCATCTCTTTATTTAAGTCTTTTGTAAACATTGGCACCTGTGTTGTCTATTTTGAGTATTATAAGAAATGCATCCATTTGCATTTTACCCTTATCTGGCTTGAATTTTCAAGTACCTAAATAACAATGTATTTCTCATTCAAAAGTATCTGAATCCAAGTCAAGACTCTGGCACATTGCCCAGTGTCCTCAAAAGATAAAGATGCTGTATGGGCTAGTTGACGGAAAGAGATGTGTCTTCCAAAGAAGGGTGATAACCTAAGTCATCATAAGTATTGCCTTGATTTTGGCAGCTCTTCAAAACTGCCTGTGGTTTAGTGTCTCCTACCTGATTATGAGAGCAGTAGCACTTATCCAGTGACAGCAGGAAAAGCTGAAGCAGATTTTTTATTTTCTTTCTCTTTTATTTTGGAGATATAAATTAGAGAGCAAGATAAGCAGGAGTTCAACCAGAAGCCTTCTACTGCAAGTCTGGATGGAAGTTAGACACAAAAAAGCTGTGCTCCTCTAATGAACAGTTAAGAGTTAGTATAGACCCATGAACATAGAACTAATTCAGTGCTTGTGAAGCAAACCTAGCCGTGTATGTTGGGCTTAGCTAGAACTTCCTTCGAGTCTAATAAAGTACAATCGTCACGTCAACAACTACTGATCCCACTGGGAAGAAACTGAAATAAATGCTAATACAGCATGATCAAGATGCTGCTGGTCCTAGAAGACTGGCCCCAGCATGGGACAGCCAAGACAGATCTTCAACTCCATGCAGAGTCAGCCCCACTGACATCAGGAAGAAACAAAATTTAGCCTAGAAACTAGAGAATTCCAGAAAGCTGCCCGTAATTCCTAGCCTGGAAGGAGCTGAAGAAGGAGACACAAGAACTTCTGAGGCAGCTGAAACATATTTTTGAAAGAGATGATGCTAAGGAACATATGTTTAGAATAACTACATTTATACAGTCAATATTTAATTTCTGAAAAAAAAAAGGATGGCAAAAATCCACTAATGCACCAAAATTTATTTTGTTTTCATTTTAAAGTGAACCATAAGTACAAAATAATACCACTATTCTCCATAGAAAGATATTCCTTAAAGTATTCACCTAGGAAAAAAAGGGTATTTGGACTGCACTTCCAATAACTGCTAGGCACATTCCGACAGGTGTCAGAAACAAAAGCTTTAGCTCTGGAAAACAAGGACTCTGGAAATAAACATTCTGAGAACACATTTGGCAAACAGATACTTACGAGGTGTCGTCTTCCTCTGTTTTAATTGCTTTCCAGGTTCCAAAAGGTTTGGTCGTCTTAGATGCATCACTGGAGGATTCCTCGAAAACTAAGGGAGTCTCCTTTTTACGTTCCTCTTCTAGATTAACTTCTCGCCATACACCTAACGTTTTAGCTTTGGGAGATTTCTTTTCTTCTGTTTCTTCACCATTACCTCCTTTCCTCTAAAGAGGAGAAAAAAAAAAAAAAAACCTTAAGCAAAAATGCCTAAATAAAAACACAATATAGCTTTAATTTACATCTTTTACTTATAATTGTCTACTATTTATACTTCTCAATTTGGAGTAAGTTGAAACAATACATTTCATATCGTTATAAAATCTTAACATTTTTCTCCCTGCACTTTCATCACGTATACAGTTGATAAAGATTTTAAATACTAGACAAAATTAAAGCTGGGAAGTCTCATCTATCATGGTTGATGACAGCAACGAGTAATGAATACAAATGTAAAAACAAAGCTTAACATGCAAGAAAAGAGGTGAACATACTACATAGAGCTTCCTGCATGCACACATACATGTGCCTTTCATAGCTAACAAGCACCTGTTAGTACTTCAGAACGATGCACAGAGAAACAAAAATACATATTTTAGAATTTACATCTGCCTATCAGCAGAATGGGCTCTGGACTATCCTTGTTCTGGACTACCTGTTCCAGGAAAGATTAGGCCCAACAAGGGCCATAACTGGTGCCTTGATCATAAACCTTCAGATTCGAGGATAAAGATGCTAACTGATTTTGTGCTATCATTGTTTTTTAAACTAAGGACTCTGCAGCCACTTTTACCAGTGAGGGCTGGAAGTCATAACCTCACCCTGAAACTCAAATCATTTTGTGGATTATTTCAGAGATGACAGTGCCCTTTCTTGGAGAACATCACACTTTTGGCAATATCCTGAAACAGTGCTATCAATGTGACAAATAATTGAATAAAGATTCATTTTACTATTCCAGCAAGTGAAAACTTTTATTTTCCATCATAAGGTTTAATCTAATTACGACAAGTACAGCATGCTGTAAGAGGTAAAAGACAAAGTCATCTTATGTTAGAAAATGACTACTGTGAAAAATAAAGCAGTCCCGAAAAAAGAAGTTACCTTGGAAGTTCTTTCTGGACTTTCCTCCTCACTTCCACTATCATCCTTTTCAGAGTCTGATTCAGATGCTTTGGAATCGGTTTCTGCACGGTCTCCAGAGCGCTTGTTACGTTGACTGTTCTCATTTGAAGATGAAACAAATCCAGCAGGTTTCTCCCAAGTGGATACTGCCCAAGATATTTGGATAACCATATTATTTATGTTTCTCATTTTGAACTATTATTGCTTTGATGACATTATCTTCCAGTAGCGGTGCTACTTTATGCAAAAATGCAGCAAATAATTTAGCACAAGCCTTTTGCTTTTACCCAGTATGTCTTTTTTATTGTTTTTTAACATGAGCTTGATCAGAAAGGTAGCACCCTACTTCCCAGCACAAATATTATCATGACAGCTGACTCCACTTTTGATAAACCTTGTTGTAACTAGCCCTTAAGATAATACATAGCAAACTAGAAGACTATGTTTCCATCTCATTCTAGAACAGGACAGACAATTTTCCCTCTGGAGTTATCTGTCTGATTTGTCTAGTGTCTGTTTTGTCTAAATATGTCTAAATTTATTAATTTTACAGTTGACTCAGTGGTGTTAAAACTGTTGTTAATAATAAGAAGGCAAAAGTATATTAGCTGCTTTATTATATATGAAAGCTTACATAAAATAATTTATTAAAAGTAATCTTTCTCATTATTTTATGTATTTCCAAAGATATTCCTGGCTGAAAATACTTAACAGATATGCTTGTAAATGTATTTTGGAGAAGTAAAAATGCAAGGTTCTGTCAGTCCATGGCTCTAAGCTAACAAAACAGTCTGTGAAGGATATTCATGCCATGGAGCTTCAGGCCATTAACTGAGAAGGCTCATCTCCCTAGGTGCTCCATACAGTTGATGGAGGAGGCCTTCCAGAGTATGACTCAGAGCAGGAATTTAGCCCAGGGATACCAGCCTCCTATATGGCATGTCTGAGATTAGGCATTATAAATATGCTTTTTGGTTAACAATTTTTCTTTTCTTCAGAGAACTGCATTAGTGTAACAAAGCTGACAAGCAGTTTTAAAGCACTTCAAAAACATCTATAACTATATAAAAATAAAAGATCGCTGTTTCAACTTTAAAATCGCATTAAGACCAATTACCAAATATGTTGATTTCAAAAGATATTCTTTCTGTCACATGTCCACAAAGAACTTTAAAAAGCAATACAACCAAAGGCACAAAACATGTCTGAATTTAGAAGGCAGCTTAAAAATTATCCAGCATCTCTTTTCCCTTTCAAAAGAACAAACCACAAAGGATTCGGTTAGAGAAGTGGCATGCTGAAAAATGGATCTTTCCTTTTCCTTTCCTTTTCCTTTTTCTTTTTCTTTCCTTTTCAAAATTACAAGGAAAGCCAGTCCACACCCAGCAGCAGAATTAAGACCCATGGCTGGTATGAAACTACTGGCTCTCCAAAAAGGCATCACCTATCTTACATGTGTCAGCCAGATCTGGAGAATTGATGCCTGCTCTGGGGGAGTTACCACAAAATTCCCCTTTGGAAAAAAAAAAAATTACAATGTATAGTCTGCCTGTCTGATCTCAGCTGGACACCTTCCAGTCCTCTTCGAGGGACCTCAGCCTATCTCTTATCAGTGCTGCTTCAGTAAAAGGATTAAACTGTGCAGATTCTTACTCAACCCTCTACAGCTGTCAAAATAAAATCCTGCTTTTTTCCTATTTCCAAACAAAAACATTTATACAAAAACATTTGTATAAATGAAGAATCCACATTTTATAGTTTTATGTGTCTAAAAACCTACAAAGCACAAGTGCATACACACTGAAAAAGCATCCAAAAGCCAGCACTGATTATGCAAGAAGTATATTTCAACTAACATGATGAATTTAAAAAAATAGCAGAGTTGAAAACGCTTTCTGAAGCAGTGCTGAACTGGAAAACAGAGTCTCCCTACCTGTGATGAATTTAAAAAAATAAAACTTTCAAATAACATTAAAAGACAGTTCACTTGCTAAACAAAAAGCAGAGTTGAAAAAGCTTTCTGAAGCAGTGATGAACTGGAAAACAGAGTCTCCCTACCTCCTGTTTTTGTGTTATAGTAGTAGATATGACCATCTTCGGAAACACCTTCCACCCACTCTGCTGTCTGAGAAAGATGTTAATTTAAAAAAAAAAAAGCTTTAATGATCAGTCAAAGCATCACTTACAGGATATAACAACATTCACCCTTTGAGTATTTCTCATTTACGATAATTTTACTGTTTGAATGTTTGCTTGAAACCTGGACCCTTAAAGCTGTTAGCAAATATTCCTTTTGACTCAAATGCAATTGAGTACAGACTGCCTAGCTTCTAGCTTTAAATACCATGAACACAATACAGATTTTTTTTTTCTCCAAACAGTGGATAATTAGAACCAGACAATATAGCTCAGGTTGCTGAATAGTTCAAATTATGATTATTTTACAACTTTTTTTTTTGTTGTTGTCCGAAGTATTCACACCTTCAACTGTAATTTCCTTTTCTGTTTCTTTTCCTAAGCAGAGACTGAGGGGAAAAAAAATCTCCAGAATTACAGGGTATGTAAAAGCAACAGAAAAAAACAACATCAATAAGTACTACAAGCAAACAAACAAACAATCTTCTAAAATGTATTCTAAAACGGAACTTCACCAAAAAATGGTTAAGAATGAAACTCTGGAGGAATGCATCCCAATGAATTTGCTTAATTTAGGGAAAAAACCCACTGATTTCAACAAAGCACTCATTTTTACTACTTAATACATGTTTAGGATACTGAGCAGAAGTTGCTGGTGTGTCTTTATGGATGCATAATTAAAAGAAAAATATTTTGTAAAATCATCTACACCTAGATAATTATTATTCCTTACAAAACTTGAGATTTTCATCAAAGAACTGATTCTACCTACACTTAAATATACAATTATTTCACTGTTTCTTAAGTACTAAAACTGCCCATCCCCTCTATAGGGCAGAGCTTTGAGGCAAGAGAAATGTTAGTTTCATCATGTATTATTTTTTCCATTAATACATGTTTGTGCATATATACATGCACGCAAATATATATCTATAGGCTCCTGCATATACACACCTGTGAATTTGCTTAAGACTCTAGTAAAATCCTGTTGTGTTTTGAAAACTCAACAAAATCCAAGGTTTAAATTCTCAAATATGCTCCACAGAAAGCTATTTATATAAACAGAGAAATTACAGGTAGTTAGTGCAGATAATGGAAAAGTGGGAAAATGTCAGTGAGCAATTTTCCTCAAAGTTTTGTTCTCAAAAGTTGGAATGACGGAGTTTCCGTGACAGAGCACTGGAACAGGTTGCCCAGAGAGGTTGTGGAATCTCCCTCTCTGGAGATATTCAAAAGCCACCTGGACTCAGTCCTGTGCCACGTGCTCTAGGTAACCCTGTGTGTGCAGGGGGGTTGGACTAGATGATCTCTAGAGGTGCCTTCCAACCTTAAGCATTCTGTGATTCTATGAATGTGCTAGTTTCAACCCAAGAAGCAAAAAAGAAAATTTATTTCATTTGAGTGGAAAAAGGACCATGGACTATCCTTAAGTCCATCTTACTGTTTTGGTTCAAGTTAGATCCTGAACATTTCAGATCTGGTTCTTAGAGGATTTTAGCAGATATATGACGTTAGACACACCAAGTATTCCATTATATAAATGCTAACAGGCATGATGTCAATCTCACTTAAGGCATATGTGGTCTCCAACATACTTTATCATTACTGCGTGCTGTGCATGTTTTGTGAAGTCTGAGGAGCAAGCTAACGTGCTATGAAACAAGAAGGGACAATGAATCTTAATCGAACAACGCACTTCAAGCGTGCCCTTTAATGTCAGTCCTTAGAGAGCTAAAGTACTCCCAATACCTTTAGTTCAGGTTAAATGAGAGACCAATCAAATTCCCATTTCTAGGAACAGCTCAAATGACTAAAGACACCACAAAGATCAGGCAAGAGAACAGCAAAACATGACCATGTGGTTTGAGGAGATATCTGAGGCAGGAGGTGTGTGTTTATGATACTGCTAAAATGACCTAACATTGAAATGGTGCCAAAAGGAGAACTCCTCTTTTCTAGCTTCTCTCGCTGCTCTGACATTCCTCTGACTCTGCAGTAAGATAATTCAAGGAACCAAAAGCCTACAAAGCACTACGCTTAACTCTGATGTCCTCACACCCTGTGAACTGGTTCACTAGCCTGACAAATATGCACCGTGGCCACAAGTCACTAGGCCACCTCCTTCACTGGAAGACAGCAGTGACACTGCCAAAATATCCTGCAAAGCCACTCTTAGATTGAAGAGATGAAGTACTGGTTAAAAAGCTATGTAAAAGCTGAATTGAAAAGGAATGAGAAAGCTGGAGTGGCATGTGACTGGGTAGCTCTGCTATAAAGTATGCAGCCACTTGGGAATGAGAACTGGCTGCAAAAAAGGCCTTCATTTTGAAGACAGACACTGTCTTAGCAATGGCCAATAAAGACAGTGGACGCTATGTACATGTTGTAAATTGATTCAAATGCCTACAAATATACATAGTTCTAAGCAGCTTCTCCTATGACTATAAATAATCTAATACTAAGAAAAGGCTTCTTTTTTTACGCTAAGGAAAAACATTATAGAGCTACAAATAACTGGCATAAAAGTCAGGCTTATTTGATTCCTAACAGCAAATCTAACGTTAGTGGAAAGCACTGACTTTATGTCATACCGTACCTGTGTCACCTGTTTTCAAAATTGCATAAAGCAGACTTAAGGACTGTTATAAAAATAGTATTTTTCCTGTTTTAAGCACTGGACTTATAGATGATAAGTATCAGAGAAAAGCCTAATAATAATAAATATTAATAAAAGAAGATTGCCTTTGAATTATTTGGCAAGTTTATCTACGTCTTAAATAGACAAAATAATATAAAATGCTAGCTTGCTTGTACATAGGTTCTGTGAACAAGGGGTAATGGGTACAAGTTGAAACACAGGAAGTTCCACCTCCATGTGAGGAAGAACTTCCCTGTGAGGGTGCCAGAGCCCTGGAACAGGCTGCCCAGAGAGGTTGTGGAGTCTCCTTCTCTGGAGATCTTCCAAACCCGCCTGGATGCCACCCTGTGCCCTGTGCTCTGGGTGTCCCTGCTGGAGCAGGCGGATTGGACTAGATGATCTCTAGAGCTCCCTTCCAACCCCAACCCTCCAGTGATTCTGTGAAGGTGCCTACAGAAAAGACAAGTTATCACACAGTTGTATCCTAAAGTAATTACCCAGGAAAACAGGCACTCCTCATTCTTTTAAGTATTTGGAAAACAATGAGATTGCATTGTCAAACAGTGGTTTGGGATGCATTATAACATAACATAACACAAATAACCATATGTGCATTCCTTCACACACACAAAAAAAAAGTCTGTTTTTTGGTCCGACAGGAAGATTTTCCTTTTTTAATTGTTACGATTTTCTATGTCACTGTAGTGCAGAAAAAAATAATGAGCTATAGTCTAGATCTGCTGTCTCACAAATGCTCATATTCCATCAATTTACTCTAAGAGTCTGACATAATAACGATGGTTAAAACAAAGATTTATGTAGTAAAATTTTATTTTTCATCTGTAACATAGTAAATCATTCTATATATTCAAATTATATTTTCTTAAGTTTACTATGAGCAAAAAATCTATATTCTGCGCTCAGAAAAGACAGGTTTGCACATTGTTTAGCTTATTTAGTTAATGAAAAAACAAGCATTTGCTTACTGTCTTAGAGTTTGAAGAGCTGTCTTGGAATCCTCTAGGTTTCTCCCACTGTGATTCTTAAAAGACAAAACAAAGCAAGAACAGAAAAAAAAATCCATTGTTTACTTCTGTCCATTTTTAACGTTCCTCCAAAAAACAGATCTAAAGGACATATCAATGTCGGTTACATATACAAACAAGTATTACAGATATGCTTCATCAACAAATAAATCATCCTTTACCAAACCACGGCATTTTCAGTACCAAGCGATAGTAAACCAAAGTGTCAAAATTACTGGTGGCATTACAAGGACTGATCACTTGCCAGTATCTATTAAATTATGGCTGATACACAGATACTAAAATTTTGGTACAAGAAGGATTTTCTTTAAATGATCACTTTGGCCAAAAGATTTTTACATTTTGGAAATTAAATTGTATGGGGAAATACTAAGGCAAACCTTAATATCAGATCTTAAATTTATAAGAAACTGTTTGTAATGTTTACTTTTAATAATAATAGCGGATTTCTTTTACACTTTAAATGGATTGTAACACACTGCTGTTCAACAGAAACAAGTGAGATAAATGCTGTAAAGATGGAAGAAAAAAAAAGACGACAATAACCCGTAACTATTGAAGACTCTACTGTCTTTGATTTGGACACAGTTGATGTCCAAGTAATTGACCATTTTGTGCCATATACCTGGTAATAAAGGTTTTTTGGAAAGAACATATCTATTTTTTTCTGTATTTACCCTGTGAGAGGCTAGCAATTTCCAGAAATACCTATTACTGAGTTTTCACATTATTAACTTACTAATAAAAAGCACAAGTAGTCGTAAGTTCTGGATACCTATGTCTTTAATATGAAATCTCCAGCTAATTTTTAGCATTTTAATTACCGATCTACAATTGATACAGTAGAAGAGTAAAAAACAAGAAGTCTTTTCTCGTTTACATGCAAGAATTATGCTTGCATTTGCTTCTCACTAGTTTTTACCTCCTGTGTTTGTGTTGTAGTAATATGTGTAGCCCTCAGGGGAAAGTCCTTGTACCCACTCCTTCTTTTCAAGTTTTGGTGGCCTTGAAGGATCCTCAGGCATCTTTTTTTTCTTTTCCTTCTTTTCCTTTTTTTCTTTCTTTTCTTTTTTCCCTTTATTTTCTGCTGTATTACTCTGTGCTTTACTCTGTGTCGAACTGGGACCTACATCATCTTAAAGAAAATGATATTCCCTTTTAAAAGAAAGATTGATAATCTGAACTTACATACTAGTCACTCTTTTGTAACAACAACAACAAATATGAAATTTTGGGAGTATTTTCATTCATCCATCACACAGAGTAAACTGAAAACAGCAATAAAGAAAGCTTGCATTTTAACAATAGTAGTGTTCCACAAGGAAGTCCAAACATCACAAAACGAGTAACATGAAGAAAAAAAAAAACATAAGGACTTGTGATTTCTGAGTAACAAAAAGAATTATGAGAGAGATGGCTTCCCCAGGAGTTTGCAACTATTAACTTTTTTTTTTAAGGATGTGTCTTCACAGGGACAGATCAAAGGTATCTGCTGAACTGCAAGCTTAATAGGAGATTCAAAGCTCCATTGCTTGACATCAGTAGGGTCCAAGCTCTCTTAACTGGCAAGAACTTTGTCTTCGTTAATAGAAATGAAACACACAACTAACTAAAAGAAGCTGCAGTGCTGATTGCAAGCGCAAGCTACACAGTATTTTTCCTATCACATTCTTTCATATGTGCAGAGGACAGCATAGCTAAAAACATTCTGTACTGCAATTTCCACCACTTGCAAAATGAAGGCACTCTCTCTCTTTTTTCCTTTTTCTTTTTTTCTTTTTTTTTTTTTTAGATGCACAAACACTAAAAGTCTTATGTTCCTAAAACCTTATGTAAGAAACAAACAAACAAATTACTATTCAATATTCTTTCAATTCTGTCTTTAATCCTTTGGCAGCTATATGGACTACCTGGCTTAATTCCAAGCCTTTTCAAATCCTCTTGATATGCCTTCATTGCAGCTTCCTCCATTGCTGCAAATTCTTTTGACATGTTTTCTTCTTCTTTTGCTTTTTCCATGCTTTTCTTTTTTATCTGCAAGAACAAACAAACAAAAGATTAAACAAGTCTGACAATGAAAGAGATCAAAAAATACATATTTGTGAAAATAAGATGCTTGAGTTACCTCACTAATTCGTTTTGTCACATTTTCTTTATGATTCTTTCCTCTTTCATGAAATTCAATGCTCTTCAAAATAAGAAAAATACATACAAATTTAATTAGTTTTATATAGTTAAAATCTAGTTGAACAAAACCAAATGTAACCTCCCCAAAAAATACTTAGAGCAAACACTGTAGCTATAAAATGTTTGCTCACAACAACTGAGGAACACTAAGAAAGATTCAAAATCAAAATTATGAAAAACACTCTGAAATGGTATTATAAAATTTCATACTGTTTATCTATGAGATTCAAGCTTTTTATAACTAGAAACAAGGAGGGGAAGCCTGGGTTCCCTCCCCATGCTGTTCTTTAAAGTATCACCTCTTTTTTTAACTTGCTGTTTGTTTCCCTGCCTTTTTTTAAGTGATTTATTTAACATTCCGAATATTACTATGGTCCTTAGTTAGATTATGCTACATTCCTCAAAGGTCCCATGAACTTCAACTAGTCTGCTGGTCCAGAATAATCTGAGACGGAGTGCAGAAAAAGGAAAATGGGAGAGCTAGGTAACAACAGGATGGTCTGCAGGCCAAAAGCTGCCAGAAAGACTGAAACTAGTCAGAAACTCTACAGCAACAACAGCTGATGTCCTAATACAGTTCCCAAAACAAACATCTGAGCTCATCTAAGCATTCAAAAGCTAGATGCCTAAATCTGACTTAGTGATTCCAAAATTTCTTTCTAAAAATGGAGAGTTTAAGTTAACGGCTGTGCAGATACCTGTTTCTCAATTAACTTCTTTTAAGTATCACAGGTAAATATTACAAGGCTATTTTACAACAATATAATTCATGCATCAATAGACTATTAATGAAGTGATTTTAAGATCTTGCAATTCAAATTGGTGGTATCTCAGAATCATTAAGGCAATATGGTAGATCATCCTACAGGTCTGTTGTCTGCTATCCAACACTTGCAGTAGTCGCAGAATTTCTTTGGCTGAGATTTCCAGTAATCCGCCCTGGAAAAATAAAAAGGAAAAAAACTGTAACCTAAAACAACATCAAACTCAAAGGTTTTTTACACAGACAGCCCCAAAAAGTAAGCCTTATGTTCCACACAGCACAACTCGGTGTTGCACTATTCCAATCGATTCCCGAAGACTATGACATTTTCTATAACGGAAAGGGTGCTAGGAGAACCAGAAGACAACACTAGCCAAAGATTAACAAGCTGCAGTAAATACCCTTATTAAACACAGAACTGTCAGGGATGTGCAAATTACTTTTAATAACAATGCACCCAGTACATGTTTTTAACAGTAAACCTTTTGATTTAATGCCCAAGTCAATTCTGGATTCAGCACAGTGAGCTTAGCAACAGAGGTACAGCTTTGGACAAGGTGAGCTAATGGAAGGGGGCCTGGAACAGATTTTGACCTGTGGGGTCACAGACAAAAGAGCAAATGGTTTAGAGGTTTCAGTGTAAAAAAGGGAGTATTTTTGAACCATGCAATTCGGATAAAACGTTGCATATGTGTGAGGAAACATGAAGGAACTCTGCAGAGTTCAGAAGTTAATACATAAAAGTCCTTAATGAAAAAAACACCCCCCTTCAACAACTAGATAAAGACTGTTTCTTAATCAACAAGCTCTTTCAAATGCCAGATGAGACTCTTAGATGAACAGAAATAAATTCCATTTCATGTTGGCTTGCAGAAATAGATGCAATGCTTCGGTTCAACAGAAAACATTCCAGTAACATATTTTTATGTTTTAAAATTAAAATGAACAGAATGAGAGTCAAAAAAGAAAAATAAAACCAACTCAGGATAACACTTGAAACATTAAAAAAAAAATGCCCAAAATCAATCTTTGCTTTCTATTTGGAGGATCAATATACAAAGCTGAAGGGAAAAGGAAAATACTTCCCAACATTTTTATTCACTAAAAACAAAGAATTCTCCATGTACAAAAATAGCACCTCTTAAACCCTATGATACATGCAAGCAGAACTTTCAAAACAGAAACAGACGTGAGTTATACAACACTTAAAATTGAAGCACAGATAGCAAAACAAGCCCTCCTCTCAGACTTAAGGTTAAACAAAATTTCTAAGATGCTACTGCAGTCAAAAAAAAAAAAAAAAGGCATTGTAAGCAACATTGTCATTGGCAACATGCAGCTTTTCAGGTACTTTTCTGAAAAGCTAAGCAGCAGCTGGGCTTCCCCCTAATTTAAACAGAAATCTGCTCATCCTTAAATGGTGAACTTTAAAACTGGGTGATTACTTAGTCACACTTTTAATTAAAAGGCTTTTGAGATTTGTATTCTAAAATATACTCAGGCCAAAGCCCAGGAAATCTAACACTCTGGCTTGAAAATCAAGTGAGTGGGAAGGAGATTCTCACTAAGCTCACAAATACTGCTAGGCCCTTTCTCCTCTTCGAGCTGTAGCTCCTAATTGAGCTGTAGCTCCTAAATGTTCTCTAAATCCTTTGACATCATCTAAAATAAATTTCCAGCTAAAATTTGGGTTAACTTTCCTGAGATAGAGAATCAGTTCTGGCAGGAAAGATACATATTGCAAAATAATTTCACCACATGTTTCAAAGATGCAAGAACATTTCTGCATTTCCAAGCATAACTTACTAGGATTCCTTCTCTCAAAGAGAATCAAAAGAAAATGCTAAAAATAAAACTGCTGTAAATTTTAAGATGAAGACCTTGCACTTACCAGGAGTCAAGACATAGGAGTTAAACATATTATAGAAATTGTGCTAGTGAATCTGAGACGAGAATCTAGGACTTAGGTATGAAATATTTGCCTTGAACTTAAAAACCTTTTGTTTTCATATGCTATTATTTTTGATAGACATAGGAGACAACTCTATGATGTTAAATATAATAAACGTTAAACACACTCAGTGCTGTAGATCTAGTATTATCCTGGAAGTCTTAAAATTTGCAGGTCATGATTAAAAGGAGTCATTTGCATAAATTATGAACCCAATTCTGAGACTTATGAGAATGCAGAGTATTATATGCTGAGTAGATCCCTCAGAGATTTCCTAGTTCATATCACTCGAAGAATGAGCAAACTCATCTGAAATATCCACTGAATAATATCTGCCCTGGCAGCATCAATGGGGCCTGCAAAGCAGCAGCAGTGCTGCAGTGGGAGTAAACCAAGAGGGATATTCTGGAAACAGAGAAGCACCTGCAGAAAAATCCCACCTCAGTAGGACCCCACCACATTCCCCAGGCCCTTGCTACAAGCCTGAAAGTCAAACCAGTCTTAGGACAGTGATTAGCTATGTGAATTTTTTATTATTCCACTAAATATAAACTGATGAGTAGATACAGTTAAAGTGGCACATGGCTCTCTCAAACTTGTATAATTGCATACGACTATGGGAATAAGGCATTGTAGCATTGTAGCCAAACAGTAGTTTTTAAGACTATTTAGCTTCTGCCTGCACTTACATCAGTAAGGTTTAATTGCAAAGTTGGAAATCCTGTATTAATTTGCAAAAAAAAAAATTTATCTCCCAAGGAATGGGGATTTTTTTTCAACTCCTAATGGTCAAATCTACAAGGGAGAATTTGTAAGCTCAGTTCAGAAGACCAAAAGGAAATGGGAGAGTGGGGAGAGGGAAGAAGAGTGAACATAGAACTGGCTTCTTTGAGCTTTAATGAAATGAGTAACTTTGCAGTAAACAGCTGTACAGTGAAAACAGTTTCTGTGTTAAAAACATTTTTGCATTTTTAAGTTCATTTAAGACACTGGGGGACTGAGAACATAGTGAAGATGAAATACAAATTCTGCCTTAAGAGCACTCTCATATTCATTATTTGCAGCACTGAAATTTAGATATTTTTATTTGGGGTTATTCCTTTTTTGAACAACTGGAACCACAGAACTATGTCAAAATGACAAAAAAATGGAGATTACATCCTCCTGTTGCACATGAGCCACACTTCTGGGAGAACACAGAGCAGTTGAGAATATTCAGAAGAATACTGCAGCAGCACTGGAATCCCATATCCCAGAACTCTACATCTTCCTGCCAATGTGCAAGTTCTGTTCCTAACAACTTACAGCATTATTAAGACTTTAACAGACGGTGCAGTCGGTCTTCCTATATTGGGAAGCTTCAAGTAATGCTAATAAAGAGCCTACCTTCAGTTTTGCAAACCTTATTTTGGGATTGGTCTGAAAGTTATGGGTTCTATCCCATATTGACTCAATTTTTTATAGCTAGATAGATATAAAACAAAGAAATAAAATTGTTTCAGGTGATTCTGAAGACAACAAAAAGTAATTTGGCCATGCAAACAAAATCTGGAAGCATTCAAACCACTCTGTTTTTAAAACACCAGCCTCAAAATTTGGCAGGAATTCAAAGGCCTTTTTATCAGGGATATATCTGTCTAAATTATATGTCTTTAGGAGAAACAAAAAAAAAATCCATCACGTACATGCTCAGTGTGTCTTTAATATCCGCAAAGGCTTTGCATAGAGTTAACATTTTAGAGCTTTCAACAGGTTTGAGAACCGAGCAGCCTGCGCATGCATCACACTCGAGTAGAGGTGTGTGAAATAACTTGTAAGCAACATATGGATCCAAGACTACACAAGGAAACAAATTAAGAGCTGTTGTGGGATAAGTATTCTGTAAAACCCACTCAAAGGACATGTGTTTATTCATGAATGCTAACAAATTTTATTTGGGAATACTGTATACTTCTAAAACAAATTAATAATAATGCAGAAAAAACAAAGAATCATATATTTCACAACACAGCCTCCCCATGCGGAGACATTCCAGAACAGCTAATACTACAATTATCCCAGTTTTTTTTTTTTTTTGTATTGTAAGCCCTAAGAGGGACAGCAGAGAAGGAAGACAAAAAGGGAAATGAGGAACAGTCTCTCTTGTACTGTGAAGCAGTACAAGACATTAGGTCCATTATGACAATGGCCCTAATGATCTCCACTCCCTAGGAATTCATAGCAACTCTTCATTCCTACTGCACTAACCTTACCCTAAAAACCCTTTCTTGATTTATATCTTAAAAACAAACAAGCAAACAAACAAACAACCTCAGATCTAAAAAATAAGAATGCAAGAAAAACAAGTCCCTGATGCACCTACTACACAGGACTGTCCTTCTAGCCAATATAACCTTAGTTTGTTGGCCTACTATGTCACCAAATGTATTTGTATGTTTGAGCTCCTAAGACGGAGCAGCCCTGCACAAAAATTTTATCTTCACGAAACAGGGTGGTTCTGCGAAGGGTTTAGTACTTCTGGCTGTCGATTATATATTTTGGCAATTCTTCAGTAAACTGTAATTTATAACCAAACAGCTGCTTCTTTTTATTACTGTATTAGTCCCCTCTAAACAACATACAATACAAGTCATAATTTTGCAAGATAATCTCAGCTGACAGTGGCATTTGCATAAACCACTTGATGTGACTCTGCATTGGTGCTGAACACTGTTGCAAGGCTCTACTCTGCAAGAGCACTCTCCTAAATTTTAGGTTTTAAGAAACAGAGCATCAAGAATTTTTGCAGCAATATACAAGAACGGTAGGGATAATTAATGTTTTCCATGCATAGATTTCCAATGGGACTTACCTAACTTCAGTTGTCTAAAAAAAAAAAAAAAAAAAGAAACAGTTGTCTAAGAAACAAGAAATGAACTGAACTCTGTAGGTGTGTGTTTCCTTCTCACCCTGGAAGCTTAAAGAGAACAGTCCAAACCAACCTGCAGAAGTTGGGTATCTAAAATCAGAGATGTTTACAGAGAGCAGAGATGTGCTGCTGTAGACCCAGGTGAAGGATATGAGCTTTGTCAGTAAGAATATATTAATGACTAGAAGAAAAGGGCAAAAATAGAACACAAATTGGGTCAAGAAGCCATCCAACTATCATTTTAGGAACAAGTATAACTAAAAACACACTACACATAGTAGGAGTCCGATTCTGTGCTAACACAATCTAACCACCAAATACTAAGAAAATGGTATAAGTTTCAGATTT